TCTTACCGGCGAATTTGCTGGTAAAGGCAGACATGGTTTTTGACGGAAAGATCGAGAAAATCAGAAAAAGCGAAGACGAGAGAGAGAAGAAGCAGGTGGACCAGTAGAGGAAAAGGGTTGGGTTTATATAGCAGAGGATGAGAGACTATTGGTTGGTGAAAAATGTTAATTTAAGGGTTTAGATCTCTTTGCATCTTCTCCAAGAAACTGTTTTTCAGCCGTTGGATCTCACGTGGTTTTCTTGGTAGTTTTGGCTAATCTCGGTTCTACCCTTTTACACAGCGGAGTAAATTGAGGGTAATTTGGTCATTCTAGGAAAAGCATGATTTCGGCCGGACCAAGGACCAAGGCCCAAAAACCTCCCCTTTGTATAATATTCTTGCTTCGAATTATAGTTTGTGTAATAATAGTATTAATTAAAAATCAACCATATAATTTTCTTTGTGTCATAATGAGCACTTAGACGGTTTGACTACGAAATTCCATAGAATATTCTTTTTTTTTCTTACAAACTGTTTGTTTATTTAGGGTGAGAGCAAAATACGACTTTGAGAGTACCGAAAATAAATAAAAATAGATCTGAGATTTAGATAGAGACACATAAACAGAAACAATTGTGAGTCTTGTGACTCTTGAAACCCATGAATCATCAAACTATATATATCAAAGTTCTTTTTGCTTTCTACCGACAGTACGTAGAGTTGATAACCTTTTTTTTTGTGTGTATTTTGAAGTTTTAAAGGTGTCTTTTAGGATCTTTAAGTGTTTTATTGTTTCTTTACTTTGTGTTTTTGGAGTTTACAAGCAAGTCGTAAGTAATGATAAAATGATAAACGTCACTATAACAATTCAAGGGGACTTTGACATTATTTCAGCGTATTGTTAGATTGTGATATGTGAATTGTTCGTGTATATATCAATGGAAACAAAATGTTTCGATATTTTCATGATATTTAAGAAAATAAAAAAATATAGGATATACAATAATTAAGACGAATATAGAAGAAAAAAAACAAATAAGGAAATACGCATATGGTCGGTCTCCAAATTAATTAGATGGTGGATTTGACTTTATGGCCAAGACAAAAAAAAAGAACATTCCA